CACAGGAGAAACTTGAAATGACTTTGGTAATGCCCAAAACTTTTAGATATAACACCAAAAGAACAAATCATAAAATAAATAATTGATAAGATGGAGTTCATTAAAATTAAAACCTTCTGCTTTGCCAAAGACAATGTCAAGAGAATGAAAAACAAACAAACAAACAAACAAAAAAAAAACCAACAAGCCACAGACTGGCAGAAAATGTTTGCAAAAGACATATCTGATAAAAGATTGTTATCAAAATATGCAAGGAACACTTAAAAATCAGCAATAAGAAAACAAACAACCTGATTAAGAAAAGGTCCAAGGATCTGAATAGATACCTCACCAAAGAAGATATACAGAGAACAGAGAAACACATGAAAAGATAAGCCATACCTTATGGCATTAGGGAAATGCAAATTTAAACAACAACCAGATATCTACATGCCTATTACACAGGACAAAATTCAGAACACAAACAACACCAAATGCTGACAGGGATGGGGAGCAACAAGGACTCTCATTAATTACTGGTGGGAATGCAAAATGACACAGCACTTTGGAAGATAGTTTGGCAAAATTAAATATACTCTTACCATATAATTGAGCAATTGAATTCCTTGGCATTTACCCAAAGAATCTGAAAACTTACTAGTATGTCCATACAAAAACCTGCACACAGCTGTTTATAGCAGCTCTATCCATAATTACCCAAACATGGAAGTATCCAGAATGTTCTTCCATAAGTAAATAAGTAAACAACTGTGGTACATCCACACAATAGAATATTGTTCAGTGCTAAAAAGAAATGAGCTATCAAGCAATTAAAGAACATGAAAGAAACTTAAAGGCATATTCTTGCATGAAAGGACCCAATGTGAAAAGGCTACGTATTGTATGATGTTAAGTATGTGACATTTTGGAAAAGGCAGGACTGTGGAGCCAATAAAAAGATCAGCTGCCACTGGTTGGGGTGGGGGAAGGGATAAATAGGTGGAGCACAGAGTATTTTTAGGGCAGTGAAAAATCTCTGTATGATACAATGATGGATACATGTCATCCTGCGTTTGTCCAAAGCATACTAGTAGAATGCACAACACTAAAAGTGTATTGTCATGTACACTATGGACTTTTAATGATTATAGTGTATCAACGTAGATTCCTCAGTTGAACAAATGTACCACTCCCTCTATTAGAATACAAGCTGTCATGGAGCAACTTAGTCACTAATATATCCCCAGCATGCACACTCTCAACAAAGATTTTGAGATGAATGAATGATTTGCCACTTTGGAGTTTTCATGACTCATCAAAAACAGAATACAATACAGAAAATAATGTGTTGTGCATCATTTTAAAAATTTCCACCCAAGGTGACAGGGCTAGGTTGATAACCTAGAAAGGAAGGAATTACGTCTCTCATCGTATCTAATTTTACCCAATTAGATTTGTGAAAGGCTCTACAGTGTGTAAACTCTACACCTTGAACTAGAATCAAGATCTCACAGTTCTTGTTCAGTCCCCTTTCCATTGCATTCAGAGTAGGGTTTCAGCAATGAGGTTGATACCAATATTGTGATGCCAAGAGGTCATAAAAATTTGAAAAGGGGGAGGGTGTCTTTAGCATTTTTTTAGCAGGTATCTTTCCTTTTACTGCGTGGCTCCTCAGAATTTTTAATATACAGTTTCTTTTGCAAATCTGGAAGTGGAAAATGCCTTAGAATGCAATGATTTCCAAACTTTGGATCAGGAAGTTCCTTTTGATACCTTGGAAAATTGTAGGGTACTAGTGCCAGACTTACAATTTACAGGCTCCTGGACCAGTCACGTAGTAATACGCTACTTGTGACTGTATCAGTTAACTTGACTGCCTAACAAATCACTTCCCAAATGGCTTAAAGCAGAAGCCATTTACTTTCCCACGTTTGTGTGGGTTCGCTGGGTGGTTTCTTAACTTGAGGTTGGGTAATCTCTGATCATTTCACTCACATGTTTGGTGGTGTGGACTGGTCAGGCTGGGAGGTCCTCAGCTGTGATGGATAAGTTTTGCTCCTCATCAGCTGCTTCACATGGTGGTGGTCAAAGAGTCCAAAGGTCATCAAGAGAGCAAGGCCCAAAGCACAAGCACTTTCAGGTCTCTGCTTATGTCACATGTGCCAGAGTTCTATTGGTCAAAGCAAGTCACAGTTCAACCTAGGTAGGATGGGAGGGAAAATGGGCTCCACCACTAGAGGGGAGAATCAGCAATGTCCTGTTGCTAGGATGTGATTGAGGCAAATGGCTGAGGTTTAGAGACAAACATGTCCTTTGAGAAGTTCCAAATGAGAACAATCGTAGGTCCCTTTCATTCTCCTCTTTTAATTAAGCAACATCCTCCAAGAAGCCTTACCTACCCCTGGTTCCTTGCTTAGCCTAGGGCTGTGGTCGGCAAACTTCTGCTCGCCAGCCACATGCGGCTCTTTGGCCCCTTGAGTGTGATTCTTCCACAAAATACCACGGCCTGGGCCAGTCTATTTTGAAGAAGTGGCATTAGAAGAAGTTTAAGTTTTAAAAATTTGTCTCTCAAAAGACATTTCAATTGTTGTACTGTTGATATTTGACTCTGTTGACTAATGAGTTTGCCGACCACTGGCCTATGACCATACCACGAATTTTTTACTTTATGCAACATACGCAGGGGAAAATAGACTGAGGCCAAATAATGCAATGTGTTTGCACACAGAACAACAGGGGCAGGGAGTATTCAGCTTATCAAGAAAACTAAAGGAAGCATGCTTTCATTGTCTCGGGGCTCTTGGCAGTCAATGTACCCTGACTGAGTAGCTTTTTTTCTTATCCATAAACATTCACTGAAGGCAAAGTAGGATCTGGAAAAATCATGGTGACCTATATAAAATGATTTCTTCTCTCTTTGTAGAACTTTGACTCAAGTGGGGTAGAAGGACACCTAAAAATATATCCAGATAGATAGATGATAGGTGGATAGATAAGTAGTTAGATAGATAGATAGATAGATAGATAGATAGATAGATAGACAGACAGAGGATAAATAAGGAAGGGTGATGAATGAAGGCACCTAATTTAGGTGGGGTAGTCAGGGAAGGTGTCTCCTAGTTGAAAGGGACATTTCAGCTAAGTGCTGAGGGATGAGCAGGAACCAGTCAGGTGAAGAGGAGAGGCAGGGGAATTATTCCAGACAAAGGGATGGCAAAACTCTGAGGCAGATAAATAATTTCTACCAAGAACTCATGTATTCTGTAATGAGCTTTATTCCCTTTTCATGCATATTTTAGCAATTAGATTGTGCTGTCATTGGTTTGTTTGCAGTCTATGATTTGTTTATTTTTGTGTTCAAGAGGAATAAGTAAATCTGCTGTGAATATAGTTCTTCTTCCATGATCTTGCCATCCTTTGAAATGGTGTCTAAAATGCCTATTCTCTCTTTCCCCATGATTTGGTACCGATTGTCATTATTGTGTGACTTTTTCTTAAGAAAGATCATCTTCCTATTTTTTGGAAATATACATTTATTTTCCTTAAAAATCCAAAGAAATGGTATTCGAAAGAAAAGTCTTCCTTCAGAATTCTTACTTGTCCTTGACCATGCCATTTTGGCCAACTGGAGGAGGAGTGCTTACTCTCATTTATTTTCTAAAATAAGTAAGGGGAGAGCTGTAGGATGTTTATATTATCATCAGAGGCCCGGTGCATGAAATTCATGTCCAGTAAGAAACAATAGCTTTATTTATTATAATTAGCATCTATTATGTGCCAGGCACTTTCTAAACTCCCATTTTTCTACTTACATACAACAGTACTCTCAGAGAGATAGCAGAAGTATTTTTACTTACAGACCAGGAAATGAAGACTTGTAAGAAATTATCCAAGATAATTTGCTTAAACTTTAAGCTAAGCTATAAGAGTTTAATATACTAGAGGCCCAATGCACAAAATTTATGCAAGAGTAGGCCTTCCTTCCCACAGCACACGGAACTGGCTTCCCTCTGGCACCCGGGACCTGGGCTTCCCTCGCAGCCCTGGCTTCATCCAGAAGGCCCAGCATAATTAGCATATTATGCTTTTATTATTATAGGTGGCAGCGATCAGTGGGAAAAATGTTTAATATATTATTCAGGATCAAGTCAGGATTAAAGCAATGGGTAAGACAGAACAAAACAATAAAGTTGCAAGAGAATACACCAGAATGTATCCTGAAAAAGAAAGAACCAACATTCAAATCATTGTGAAATGTATAATTTATATTTATCCTGAAGCCCCATCTCAGTTTTTCAGTGTTTTCCTTTTATCATATTGTTAGGTTTGAATAACAAAAAAATTCAGAAGAACATCTGCTTTAAATTATCACCTTGTTTTAAAGGCTATGCTCTATGAGCAGAATTAAAAGCAGAAGGGTAGCATACACTTCAACCACCAGCTTCTGCACTATTAGGAAAGGGGAGAACACATTGCATGGTGTGTGGTGATGCTGTGCCCTAATTTACAGCGTATTAAAGTTAAGAAGAACAAATAAGACAATTTGTAGGAACTAAGGAGCGTGTGGTCTCGAATCATTATAATGGAATGCTTCTTGCACTTGTATTTCTTAGTGAGATTTGGAACACAAAGGAACAAAAGTTTCCTTTCTTCTTGTATCCTAGGTCGAGTTCATCTTTTAGGGTTGCTATATTCTCACCTTTGAAAAGGATAGGGGTCCCGTATGTAAAGTTTAGCCTGCCCTGGTGGCTTTCATGTGCATTTAAAACAAGATTCTAGAATCTAGACCATGGTTTCCCTATCTCAGAACCATGGACATTCTGGGCTGGGTAAATCTTCGTTGTGTTTTGCCTTGTACAGAGCTGAGCAGCATCCCTAACCTCTACCCACTAGATGCCAGTAGCACATACTAGTACATCCACCTCTCTCTCCTCCTCCTCCTCCTCCTCCTCCTCCTCCTCCTCCTCCTCCTCCTCCTCCTCCTCCTCCTTCTCCTCCTGGTGTCACCAAAAATGTCTCCAGACTTTGCCAAATGTCCCCTAGGGGGCAAGCTCATCCCCAGTTGAGAACCACTGTTTTTACCTCCCACTGTCAGAGCATTTGAACTTTGCTGTTGAAATGATTTTCTAGGTTAAAAAAGTTGCTTATTGGCATGTTTCAGCATCTTATAGAGAATAGAGAAAAAGATGGAGCTTATTAATAACATGTTATTTAATCCACTTCTATTAAAAACAATTTAATTTAAACAATGTTTTCCTTAAAAAGCAGGAAAAGAAAAATAAAAGTTCTGCAAACATGACATGTCAAGTTAATATATTTCTCTCACAAACTGCCCAATAGATAGAAATGATTAGACCAAGAAATCAGATGATTTTTACAAACGCTGCTGCTACAATTAAAAAAAAAAAAGCACATTCTGTAATTATGGATTACATACAATTATTTTGTTTGGCAGTATTCCCCAAAAGTGTAGCCAAGGAAATTAATAACCTAGGAAATACACAGCACCACTAATATGTATCTGGATATCTTATATCACCTCATTCCCTTTTATAAATGTCTCTGAATACAGAGCCAGTGTATTTAAATTTGTAATTCAATACTTTTCTCCCAACTTACCCACATGATACTCTATTACTCAGTGGAACATTGCAACATAAAACAATTCATCTTTTCAGAAGACATCAACAGTTATATAACCTAATCAGGTTGAAAGGATTCTAAAATGCAGGTTCATTTTCCCAGGTTGTGGATGAGAGAAAGTAACACATAGTTACTGCTACTGCCAACACCATGGAATTATGAGAGAAGGGAAGACCTGCTTACCCAATGAAGGTCAGCTGACCAGTGATGACAAATTAGCAGGGAGTTGTTAATGTGCTTGCATGACCCATGACTCCTTAGCAAAATGTTTATCTCAGACATAAAAGCCTAAGCTAGTGGGATATTCACAGATCATTAGGAATGATGAAAAACCTGTCTGACCCCAACTGAGCCTGGACTTAAGAACCCATTGACTATGGGAGGTAATCGTGAATTAGTTTATCAAATAAAACTGATATGTTGTTAAGAGAGTCCTCACTAGTATGGTGCCACCCAGGAAAAGATGATGTCGAACAAAGTAGTATAGTAAGATGAGAATTATTTAGTAAGTTTCCTCTGAATTCCTTTCTATTTAAAATATTTTTTTTTCTTGCACTGCGTGGTATCTGGATTCAGTAGTTTATTCCTGCTGGGTGTTCAAAAGACATTACAATATAAATTCAGCATCTGGCATCGTTGGTTTTCTTGGCATGTTAAACCTAGTATTTTTATTGACACAATATTAAGAAAAAAAGTTTTTTTTTTCCATCAGCCATTAGGAATTATTCCCTTGGCAATAACAAATGAGAGATTAGTGCTTGTAGGGTGTGTATACACATTGAGCTTGTAACCCAATTTAATTGAACAAGTATATTCAAACAGAACATATAGCATGATGTTATTTCACCTTCTATTCACTTGTAGCAACCATTTTCCAAGTCACTTTTTAGTAAAATGAACATAATCATTGAAATGATAACTAAGTAGATGGTTGAGTTTTATTTTAGTTAACATACGACTGCTCTAAACAGCCTCTGAGATCTTAAGGCAAAACCCCACAAATGGTGACTTATGTTCTCTACTGGTCTGCTTATTTCTTACCAGGTTTGGTAATCTGGTGTCACATATCTTGTAGAGTTGAAAGAGCGATCTAAGAACAGGTTGAAGGAAGAGGACACGTGAAGGGGTAAAAGTTAGATGGGCAGTGATGAGTGTGTTGGGAAATAATTTGCTGTCATCCTGGCAACAAAGACCAAAAACTCTGAGGCAGTTGTCTACCTATATTGGCTATTCTGCAGGTATCGTAAGAAGTGATCACAACTATCAGAGAGTTACAGTTAGGGATTGGAATGAAAGGGGCTAAACATCTACCCTGACCTACCTTCTAAGCCTCCAAGCTACTATTCTTGTCAAGTGGTCTTCTTGGCTGTGTTTTAATACCCATGGGGAATGGTTTTGTGTTCTAGTCTGGCTCAGTTTGCCATCTGTGTTTACATCCAAATTGAGAAAAAGGAAGACAGGATTGAGGGTAGAATCCACTGGCAAACTGGAAGAAACATCTACTCAGGACGACACTCCTCCAACTCAACACACATTCATACTGCCTCATATTCCTGGTTAGTCCAATATATATATATGCCTGCATCATTCCTCTTATTTAAAAATCTAACAATCTAGTAATAATGATAAAATAATTTTAGCCCGAGATACTTATTCTCAGGGATCTCATCATGCTGACTTCTATTTCATCACTATCTCTTTTATGGATCTACTAGAGGTCTGGTGCATGAAAATGCATGCATTGAACAAGGGTTCCCTCAGCCCGGCCTGCCCCCTCTCATAGTCCAGGAGCCCTCAGGGGCAGGAGGCAACCGGGCCATCAGGGAAAGGCATTGCTGCTGCCACTGGTTACCTGAGCCTCAGGTGGCCCTGGGCAGCTGGGGTGGCTGAGGGAACTGGGGGACTCCAGAGGCAGGCATGCAGAATGGCCTGACCCACCTTGGGATCAGACCTGGCCATGCCATGTGCCTGCCACCCTGGTGGGGCTGAGGGGACTGGGTGCCACCATTGTGGCTGTGGGTGCCTCCATCTTTGAGGTCATGACAGTCAATTAGCATATTCCCTTCTTCTTGGCTGTGGGTGCTGCCATCTTTGTGAGGGTATGATGGTCAATTAGCACATTCCTCCCTTATTAGATAGGATAACTGTCCCTTTGGAAATACATTCTAGAAATATTCAGGTTGATTTTTAAGTTCATGTATCAAAAGCCATACTTTGTCATCTTTTCTGGAATCAAAATGAGCTATTGATTATCTCAGCCCCAAAGTGAATTTAAGTATTTAAGAGCACCTGCTCACAGACACAAAAAGTAAAAATGATACATTTTAGGGAAGTTTTCATCAGAATGGATAGGAATGAGAATGTGTCCCACCTGAAGTTAGCTTTACTTACAGGGAACATTCAGTTGCCAGGGATACTTTACCCTCTAATCATGCCAATCATAGGAATTAATCTTGCAGATCTGTGGTTTTCAAAGTGTCGCCTCCAGATCCATTAGAAATGTAGAATCTTGGACTCCACCCAAGATCTCTTTACTGAATCAGAGTTTCTGGAGGATAAGGCCCAGCTATTGGTTCCTGTGCACACTGACCTTTGAGAACTACCGTGGTAGAAACTAAAATAGAACTGAGATTATAACACACAGCCTTCCAGTGTCCCTAACTTCATGGTAGTGGTTAGGGTGATGGTGATGATCATTTTAATAAATAATTTTTTTTGTGAACCCAACTGCTCATGTAAATTTTATGCTATGTATTTTAAGCAGTAGTTCATTTAATTCCCCCTCTCAAGAGCCCAAAGTACTGTTATTCCCATTTTATAGAAAGAGAATGAAGTCAAGAAAAATTAATCAATTTGCCAAAGGTCAGCCATTAAGTTACAGGGCTGGAAAAATGGTCTGTGTCTAGTTGATCTCCCTCTCTCTCTCTCTCTCTCCCCTCTCTCTCTCTCTCTCTCTTTCTCTCTCTCTCTCTCTCTCTCTCTCTCTCTCTCTCTCTCTCTCTCACACACACACACACACACACAGCTCAAATAAAACCCACACTCTTCACTATTATGCCATGCAGCTTTATAGAATAAGAAAAAAAGAAATACCCCAACTGAAATTTCCTCAAGCCTCCTTCCACTTCTTAAAATAGCCTTTGTCCTGAGGACCATGACAGAACAACTCCCCTGGGCCACCTTCTCATCAGTCAGCTATCTTCTGACCCTTTAGCCATGTCCTGACCTTCACTTCCAAGATCCATCAGCACTTTAGAGAGATAATTTGAGGCTGGTTTCCTCTCAAGTGAACCCAAATCCTCCATCCCTTCTGTATGCAAAACTAGGCCATTATCATCATTATAAACTACAGTGTTGAAGCTGGAAGACACTCTTGCTAGATCTTCCCAACTCGAAGTGAGATACTTAGGCCAGCAGCAGCAGCCTCATTCTGGAAGCTAGTTAGAAGTTCAGAATCTTGAACACCCCACCTCTACCCCCAGATCTGCTGAATCACAGCCTGCATTTTAACAACATCCCCGGGTGATTCTGTGCACATTTATATTTAAGAAGCACTAATTTGTCTGTACTTAGCCCCTTATTTTACCTGAGGAAATTGAGCCCCAAGGAAATTGAATGACCTATTCAAGGTCATAAATCCAGTTAAACTAGATCTCTAGTTGAATGTGCCTTTCTCCTTTTCCCTGTAGCCTTCAACTATGTGCCATAAAATGCTGTTGCTGCTTCCTATGTTCTGGACTTATGTGGGTTATCACAATTACTCCTTTACCACATTAAATGAGTTCAGTACTGTTATAATTTCTGTGTTGTTGTTTCCTGACAGGGAACTTAGAGAGGTTTAAGTACATGTCCCAAATCATACAACTTCCAAGTAGCAAATCAGAGATCAGATCCCATGTAGCCCAACTTTGCAATCAGGCTTATATTATAGCTACTGGATATGCACTGCATGTGTACCTTTACCTTTTTCTAGGACTCTACAGCTTCTATCTGTCTGTCTGCTTGTCTGACTGTTCTTCCATCGAGCCATCTATCATCTACTAGTATCTATCATCTATCTATCTATCTATCTATCTATCTATCTATCTATCTATCTATGATATCTATCTATCTATTGTACCTATCTATCTATCATCTATCTATGTTTGGAGATTAAAGAATGCATAAATGAAGTCATTCTGTTTGATATCTCTTTTTCTTTCATTAATCTCAGTGATAGAGGTTCTTTTCTATAGCTGCTTAGAAAAGAAGCAAAGACTCCTTAACATTTACCCACCTTCTCATCCTTTACAGCTCCGTTTTCCTGTCCTGCAGGTCCTTTTTCCCCAGCCACCTCTCCCATCACCTCAGGAGCTCTGACTTGGCCATCACTGTGACTTAGAGGCTGAGAAGGTTCTGGCTACTGAGGAGGAGGCATTAGAAGCTGTTGCCCTCCCTCCCCTGAAGCACTCAAAAGTTAAAGAAAAAAGTGTTGGAGAACAATGGCTAAAGAGCATTAGATAAATAAATTGCCTTTGTGTGCTTTCTTGAAAACCCAGCACGTAAGTGATTGTTTCCAGTAGAAACGTTTGCATTCCAATCAACTTAACATCTGAAATGCAACGGGGAATAAATTGGAAACAGCCTTATTGATGTCACAATACAATGATAAAAGTTCCACTTCTCCACAGCACCTTTAAAAAAGTGTTTAGATGTTTCAGAATAACATTTTTCTTGCAAAAAGCCAGTACATTCTCCTCATCTCATGCACACACATATCAGATAAGCAAAAATAATACCAGAAAGCTCAGATTTAGAAAAACTCCTAAATTAGAATTTGATTTAAAAAAATTGAGTTAATCACTCAGTATTATTAAGTTGGTGTTCATTTTTACACACGTTTTCTGAATCTGGGTGTTTATATATATATAGTGAGATGAACTATACAAACTTTTGCTAGGGTCACTGGATCTAGACAAAAATAAATAAATACTTTAGAAATTGTTGCTTTGTGAATCACAAATAATATCAATCATTCTGACCTGTTCTATTCCCAAAAGAAAATATTCCAGAATTGTATTAACATCTGAAACAAACTTTGTCTATGTATTGATGTTCTCCATAAAGAATATTACTTATGTATTCACACACACACACACACACACACACACTCATATACACAGTATTTGATTCCAAATATCTTTTGTTAAGCTCCAAAATCCTCAGGGTAAGAAGCCTGTCTTACTCATAGTTTAATTTATCTTATTATGATAATACAGGGCTTTTTTATTGTCTTAATAAATGTTTGCTGAGCTGAACACCACACCTTAACTACATATATCTGGAATTCTGGTTGTAAATTTTATTTAATGGGGAAGGGAAAAGATTTGTGTGTGTGTGACAGTGGTGGTGGTGGGGGTGGAACTATAATTTTCAATCTCCTGATTTTTGTGATTTTTAAGAGCTGGCCATAATGCTATATAGTTCTCTGATTTTATTTCTTTGATACAAAAAAAAAGCAAAATGAATGATTGTGATTGAGTCATGCAGCCCAGTTGCTTGCATATGTAATAGGGCTTCTAAATTATGACATAAACACAGCTGCAGTTTTTCAGTCTGAAGCTTTGAGAAGCATGTCGACTGGTTAGTGGGGATATTTGGAGCTCTAAATTTAAGAGTATTATTATAAGCTGTGATAGACAATCATTCCACCTTATTTAAACATTTGAGCAATTGTAAAACTAGAGTGTCTTGCTTAAATATTCAGGTTTCTTATCTATGGCAAGCAAGTTTAGCTGATATTTCAAAAGAAGACAAATTATATTTTATGGTAAGTCATTGGCTGCTTTATTTTATCAAGTTACCAACAAGATTAATAGTTTTTAAATCATTTCTATTTCAATTATTTCACTGTAAAAATCATTTCAAAAGTCATACAAATGGACATAAATCATGCTTTGTTTTTCACGGCAAATAGTCCCATGCAGGAAAATAGATAAAAATATTTGCATCTATATCTATTTAGATATGTATTCTCTCACTAATTTTTGAAATGCCCTTATATGAAGAGAAAATATACTTCCAAAGGACAGGCACCTTGTTTGCTAAATTGGTTATTTAAATTAATTTAACAAGAAATACAGTTCATGATTTACACAGTGCTTTAATAAAATTTATATATTCAATGACTTCTTTTTAATATTCCTTAAGATGCCTTTCATAGGAATAACTCCTAATTGATGGAAAACCTATAGAACCCTATTTCATGCCAGCAGTTCTTTGAAAGACTCCATTAAGGCAAATCAAATCAAGAATGCTTTGCATACTAAATAAAATAGGAATTATCGCTTTCTCTAATACTGAATCAATTAATTCCATAGCAAATTGGAACCAGAGTCCAAGTTATCATTTGACCAATTTTCTATGGCTAGCTAGAGTTATGAAGAGTCTAGAGACAAAAGTCAAGACCAAATAACCTGCATTATAAATGATCTACATTGTGGTGTAAACTTGGAAAATTATAAATCTAACTTCATTTCCTATGGGTAACCAGTACTTTCATGGGTTCCCTTCCACCATTGCTTCGGAAAATTCAGTCTAACCACTGGAGATAACCCAAACAACATTGAACAATAAACATGATTAAAACGTACAAACACAATCAGAATAGGTAAACTGTCTCTTTATCCCAACTGCCTAAAATCAAATTTTGAGAAGGATTGATGATAATGTTGACTAATTTTTTATTGTTCTACTCACTATTAAAAATTAAGAATTATTTGTTTATATTTCCTTAAAAGAAGATATATCGATACTTAACATTTTTCAGACCACATGATTAACTTAAGCAACCATAAAAATGTACTTTCTCCATTGTTTGATTTTTTACTTTTTTATTTTCCACAAAATAAATGTACCAAATACATAAAGGGCCAGCAAAACAACATGTTTGACTAGTTCTAGTCAATCCAGCATCAATAAAGAGAATAATTGGAGGAAAAATCATCTGTGTCTTCAGTAAAATGTATTTGCTTGTAACAAATAAATTATATTCATTATAAAGGCCCTCATTCTAGAGCTGAAAGAAGTGATAAAGCTCACCTGGTAGGAATCCTCTTTGGTAGATGAGAAACACTAATATTCGAAAGGTGGAAACCATTGACCTTGAATTATTGAAAGCCCTTAAAAATGAAAAACCTCTCTCTAATTCCATTTTGGGGGAAAATGTGGATTGTCCCTCAATATTCTCCCTTTATTCCAAGTAATAGGATTTCTAGCTGCAAACACTGCTGTCCAGAGTGAAGACTATGTTTCCCAGCATCCCTTGCAGCCTTTCTGGATCAGGTGAATAAATCTGGGCAATGGATATAAATAGAAGTGTTGTATGGTTGTTTTGGGGAAGATTTTTAAAATGTATTTTTCCCCTTGTTTTTTATTCTCCTCTTCCTGATGGCTGCAAGTATGATGCCAGTGTAGTGTAATGACCAGAGCTGGAGCAGCCATCATAGGGGAGCTTGAGAATGGACACCCCGTCAGCAGGAGCAATAAGCATGGTGAGTGTGAAGACCTTAGAAACCAAAGCCTGCTTTCCCTAAGTTGGGCAGCTCAGTAAACTGGAAGGCAGAAGAGGGTAGGAGAGAGTTGGAGAACCTTCAGGCTCTGGCTTTTCTTTCCTTTTCTTTCCTTTCCTTTCCTTTCCTTTTCTTTCCTTTCCTTTCCTTTCCTTTCCTTTCCTTTCCTTTCCTTTCCTTTCCTTTCCTTTCCTTTCCTTTCCTTTCCTTTCCTTTCCTCTTCTCTTCTCTTCTCTTCTCTTCTCTTCTCTTCTCTTCTCTTCTCTTCTCTTCTCTTCTCTTCTTTTCTTTCTTTCTTTCTTTCTTTCTTTCTTTCTTTCTTTCTTTCTTTCTTTCTTTCTTTTATTTTCTTTTTTTCTTTTTTATCTCTGACATCTGGGCTCAGTTGTCATTTCCTCCTAGCTGCCTTCTCTGACCAGCCCATTTTAAGTGCCCTTCCCCACCTCATGGTATTTTTAAAAATATATATTTTTAGCTTGGCCGATATGACTCAGTGGTTGAGCATCAACCTATGAACCAGGAGATCAGGGCACATGCCCGGGTTGTGGGCTCAATCCCTAGTGTGGGGTGTGCAGGAGATAGCCGATTGGGTGATTTTTCTCTCCTCATTGATGTTTCTATCTCTCTCTCCCTCTCCCTTCTTCTCTGAAATCAATAAAAATATATACATTGGGGATCGAGCCCGCAACCCTGGCATGTGCCCTGTCTGGGAATCAAACCCTGACCTCCTGGTTCATAGGTTGATATTCAACCACTGAGCCACGCCAGCCCAGCACCTGGCCCAGTCCTATTGTTGTCCCCGCACTTAAGGCATCGGGCATTAACTTGTCTAGATATTTGTCAATATACTAGTACATACTGTCTGTCTCCCTGCTGGAACTCCTTGAGTATAGGGGCTCAGTGTATTGGGTCCCCTGCACAAATAGGTCCTCAGTAAATTCTGGTCTTGAAGCTGCGGGAATTCTCCTACTTTGGAATTCTCCTACTTTGCCAGTGAGAAGTCAGTAGATACAGCACTTTGGTCATCTCTTTGGCCACATTTACTAAAACCGAACTTATACCTTCCTGTGACCCAGCAATTCCATTCCTAGGTATTTATCCACATAAACCATCCCAGAGCTGGAAGTTACCTACATTTCCATGAAAATATACAAAGAAACAAATTCTGGTATATTCCATACAAGAAAATACAATACAGAAATGAGAACCTTAAACCTGAGGCCACATGATGTTGAGTGAGAAGAAGCTAGACACAAAAGAATACACTCTCGACCATGACATTTCTATAAAATCTAAAAGCAGGCAAAACGAATCTGGTGCTAGAATCAGGAGCAGGTTGTGGAGTGGGTGGAATGACAGTGAGGCTGGAAGGAGCCGGCGTGGGGGTGGAGCCCCTGGGGTGCTGGCTATGGTCTGTTTTGTGCTCTGGCTGCTGGTTGCACAGGTGTGTGCAGCGTGTGATCATCCTCCCGGCTGCACAGGTGCGCGTTTATTATAGAAGCTTCACACTGCAATGACATTGACATTGAAGCAATTGCATGAGGGTTGGGAGGGGGGGTGCCCAGGAATGCGTGGGAGAGCTCTCAATCCCATTTTCAAAGTACTTGGCGCTGGGCGCTCACTCTTGCAGAGAAGGGACTTGCCCTGGGTCTGCAGCGCGCGCCACCTGATGCTCAGCGCGGGAGGGTCAAGTGCGAGACCCGGGAGGGGGGCTAGCGGGCGGCGGGGTCGGGCTCCGAAAGCTTCAGGGAAGGAAACACTGGGGTGCAAAGCCCCCAATGACCCAGGGATTCTCTGTCCTCGAGCCCTAGCGACACCCGGTGCCGTCCTCCTCCGCCTGGGACCCCTGCGTCTCAGCCCGTGAAGTTCACGGCTCCGCCTCCCCGGGCTGGCTGTCACCTATGGTGGCTGCCACCTATGGTGGCTGCCCAGGTCCCCTCTCCTCGGCGCGGGGCTGGAACGGGGGTCGGGACAGGGTTTCAGGATCGTGCAGGAGTCAGTCGTAGGCTCCGCACCTGCCCGGGCTTCGCGGCGGCCGCCCGAGGCCTGGACTCCCGCTGCGGGAGGCGGGAGGCGCCTGTCCCCGGGTGACCCCGCGGGCAGCGGAGGAAGGGCGGGCTGCCGGCCGCCGCCCTGGGGACCGCAAGACGGAGGCAGAGGTGTGGGGAGTGCGACCGGCTAGAGTGGGGGGCCCCGCGAGTCAGTCCGGCGCCTCCTAGGGGAAGAGGGTAGGAGAGTCCCTTATGGGTACAGAATCGGGGCCAGAGGGGAGAAAGGGGGTTCCTTGGGAGCCGGGACCCCAAAGGAACATCTAGAGCCCAACGC